AATTCTCTTCAGTCAACTCGGCTACACACCCGGCTGACCGCTTGCAAAACCCTTCATGGCCGCGCGAATTTCTTTGCGAATTGCTGTTTTCCAGTCGAATGGTTCTGCTGTCATGGCAGGAGCTTCGTTCAGCGATGCCAGCAGCGTAAATGTATTGGTAATGGGAACTGCCGGGGTTTCCGCGGCCCGTACTTGTTGAGCTTGTTGCCGATTAGGGCAATTGCGCGAAAGATGTCCTTTTTCCCTGCATCGGAAGCAAAGACCCAAGCGTCGTGCCTGGTCTAGCTCCATTGGCTGGCCTCTGCCGCCGAATGTGACGCCTGTTCCATCATGATGTGTCTGAACCGGGGCGCTTGCAGTGGGCGCGGCTACGTTAGCCTGTGCTCGTGGCGCACTTTGTGCCTGCTGCTGCCGAGGTTGGAATTGTTCTTGCTGCTGGGACTGTGGGTTTTGCCGACGGTACTGCTGCTGATTCAGGTCGATGCGTGCGGCCTGTTGTTTGTAGAGTGTGTATGTAGCAGGGAGTTCTTCCGACAAATTGTAAAGAAGCCAAATGATGTCGGCTCGGAGTGCTTTTTCTAGAAGCGATTTCAACTCCTGGAAATGTGCCTCGAAGTCGTGAATGTTCGCCTGGAAGGCACATAATTCAAACCTTGAGAAGAACTCCTGCGCTGATAGCGCTCCCATCTGCATTGATTGCAGTCTATCGTACACTTCTGCCTGTTCATCAATGAGGAAGTGTATATCTAAATCCTTCCATAGATTGTTCGTGGTCTGGATCACGGTATCTTCATCCGTGTCATACTTCTTCATGTATGTGGCGACGTATTCGCCCGCATGTCCTCCTTTCATATATGACAAGATCATAAGGACCCTGTCAAATTGTTCTGGTAGCCGCTTCCTCTGCGTGACTACATACAATTTCATTTGCGTCTTCCAAGTGATGTACTTGGATTTTGTGCTGTCAAAGACATCAGGCTTCATCGCACTTCCATTGAGGAGCGCGGCACTGTCTTGGTTCTCGGCCATTGCGCCGGGATCAGATGGAGACGAGGGTGGGGTGGGAGAACGACGAGAAGGTGGATTCGAGGCTTCAGAATCTTCTACTACTTCTTCCACAGTGTTTGGTGGGCCCTCTGGTGGTGCTTCAGATTCTTCGAGAGCAATTGAGCGGAGATGGTCAGTGACCGATTCGAGAGTGTCTCATCTGGTTCTGGGTTCTGAACCGGATGCTATGGGTTGCGGGACTGCGAGAGATTCTGAGGGTGCTCCTGTGGGAACTCTTTGTAACAATTCTCCACGTAGTCCTTCTCTACACCAGGGACAACGACTGCTATTATCCGGAGAGTGTGGGCACGGTTGTTGCGCACAGTACTGTACGTTATTGCCACGTATGTAAATGGATCTCCCCTCTAGTTCTCGATGTGTATGTCCTCTACAATCACAGGAAGGCGTGGTCATAAGGTGTCAGGTCCGTGGGGCTGATTGCAGCAAGCCCTGGGACTAATCGTGTTGTAACGACCAGATCAGGGGTAGAGTTTGCCAAAGATAGGGATTTCCGAAAGAGAACCGAAACGCTATTTTAATACAGTTCTAGGAATAGTATAACAGCCCAAGGAGCAATTGCTTCTCTTTGGTCCGATGCCCGGAAAGGGATCGTTGATCTAACTGTTATCGCTTTTCCGACGCCCGGCCACAATCGGTTGCCACGTCGTACTCAGGAATATCCGCTTGCCTGCTGCAAAGCGTGTAACGCCGCCTATGGTAGGGCAGGGTACGATTCTAATTGGACGGAGCTCTGTCTAGCCGCCTAAGGGCTAGTGATTACAGAGGTGACTTCGGGGGTGTGATGTGGTAAAAGTTGTGCAAGTGCACGGAGAAAGGTTCCAGAGGTCCAGGTCTTGATGCGGTAGAATTCAGTAGGGTTAGAATTTAAGGTGAGAGTCAGATGTGCGTATAGGATGGATCGTCGTGTGGAGATGGATGATGGTTGGTGTGGGAGTGACGAGGATTGTCGTAGGGCAGTTGGTGGAGACTCGAGCTAATGTTAGCAACTAACAATCCAACTGGACTGAGCTACGACAACGCTGAGGAGACAGATGAGAGGAATGTGAGTGAGGAAAGACCAGCTCGAGTCTGGCTTGTTATTGAGCAGTACGAGCTCCTTTTATACATGCCAGACTGAATATCTAGAATATCCTACGAATATACGGAGGTGTATAGAAAGTGAAAGAATACTATGGAACCCAGGAGAACCATCTGGGATATGTAATATTCATGACACAAGTCCGCTAATACTCACCAGTAGTGATGTGCGGGCCGGGCCTCAAAGCCTCCAAGCCTGCCAAGCCCGGCCTAAAAAGCCTGGCCCGAGTCAAGCCTGGCAGCGGGCTCAAGGCCGAGCTCGGAGCGTAGTCAAGCCCAAGCCCAACCTGGAAGCCCAGGCTTGGGTGTGCTGGCTCCGTTACCGTTTCCTGAGTTCAGAATGGGGAGAGAGCGACCTAATATGCACATAGAAGACAAAATGTAGATATTCTAGATGTAACGGCTCCCGCCGAGCACGATTGTGCGTCACCATCTGGTGCCTGCCGTAGGCACACGCTCGTGGACTTCGCTGCGACTTGACTTGTTCCACAGATGTAGATCTTCTGGAGATTATAATTTAGTGAGTACATGCAGTATTAATCTACTACACCCAAATACATTCCCTTTTGATAGCACCGGAACACTCGTTGTATTGTGAGCAAGCCCAGGCTTAAGCCCAAGGCTTGGGCCGGGCTCGGGCTCGGCTTGGGCTCAGGGCTCGGCTCGACGTCGCCACAAGCCCAAGCCCGGGCTTTGAGCCCAAGCCGGGCCCGCACATCACTACTCACCAGCATGCAAGCGATCTCCTAGTCTGCAGTGTCATGCTCGAAGATCTTGTGTACCGAACCTCGATAGTGGCAAAATCGTAAACAGGTCCTGCCAGGCTTTTGCAACTGCCATGTACCATGCGTATCGTTAGCTCAGGTTGACGGTAGCCCAGGAGTCAAGCTGCATCATGTGTTGAAGCGCCTAGTGGCTCTGGCTCGGCGTTCCACCCGGCATGGACTTAAGGTGGACATCTTAGATTAGGCGCTGCTAATATGTAGATAGTGATTGGACAATCATATGTAGTGCCCCCACACACGGACCTCTTTATGGCAGGCTTCCCCATTCTAGCGGACTTTCAATTTTGCTTCCTTTTAGTATATAAGGACTCCTCTCGCATCCCCACTCTGCATGCTCTTTCCCTTCGCACTCAGAGTAAGTTCCTTCGTCGCCCTTGCGCAGTATGCACTTATGCTTACGCCCTGTATAGCTAATCCCCGTGTGTATTAGGTTAGATCTATACAGTGTGCTCTTTCTCTTCGCACTCAGACTAATCCCCGTGTGTATTAGATCGTGCCCGCGTGCCACTCGCCAGTTCACGCTTGCGCAGCCCAGTCGTCGTATCACGACAATATCATGTTCGTGCGAACTTCGCTGCGGGGCCACAACGAACCGCTTAAAGTGATGCAGGCTTCAACGGCGACCAGGAATCGCGCAAAACGTGCAACGGGAGCTCGCTACCAATTGTTTCCTAGGCCGGGACGGCAAGTAAGGCGCATCCGGAGGAGGTGGAATCAGGGCGAGTGATTCGGAGGACAACAAGTTTGTGGAAGGAAGGCTCGCTGGAGCACGGTAACGAGGTGAGTGCCATATGGCGCTGTGCGAGAAGAACTACTCATAAGTCACGGTATAGGAAGGCATATGTTGACATGATCGATACTCTGCTTTGACAGTCCATTCGAGGTACGTCCGTTGAACAAGTACCGTTACTCTGGTGCTAAATTTCAACGTTGCAGGTCTCAGACGTTGAGATTACCATTGAAGAAGTTTAAATCGTTATCGTGCAAGAACACGTATGGATACTTGCTTGGCTCTAGGACGACGGTCTGGCAATCGATTTGGTAGCCTACCTCTGTCGAGTGCAACTTCTAAAAGTGCCAGTAACACGCGCGAGCCCCGGTCGTGACCGTGTCGATATCAACCCGTGACAATGTTTTTCTGGGCAGACAGATCCAGATTCCACGCGTATCCCTGTCACGTTATTCCGCAAGGATCTTCGCACTTCGAGAAGCCACGGCGTCAGACGTCAGTGGGTGGCCAGATTTTTCTTCATCACATCGTGGGCCTAGAGGTTGGGTTCGTCTTCGTTGGTCGTGCAGACGGGGGAGGTTTGCCCCTTCCGAAGTAGAAGTACTTTGTTTCCGAGGGCCATCGAACCAGAATCTGGTATTCTTGTGCGTCTCTTTGTCAGCGGACGATAACCTGTACTGTATATTCAGTACCTTTGCTGCAGAGACCATCTTCAGCACATGGGCAGGACCAATGTCATGGCTTTCGCACTAAATGACTACCGCCTTTGCCGTCCATAGTGCTATCACCAGGTCCCGTTGAACAGGGCGGCGACACCGTGCTCACCGAGCACCAGCAGCAGCGATTAGCGCGGTGCAGGCACGAACTAAGTCTGAGATAGTTGCATCTGGTGGCGCTCGCGAAGTGTTATAGTATATGATGCCAGCGAAGAGAATATGCTCCTCGCTAAGCCCGAAGGGCGCAGACGTAAGAGCTTCAGCTTTACCAGCGAGCCTGCCATTCTCGAGTGCTATTTCGACTGATCATAAAGAGTTAGAATTCTGTTATTACGTCGTTAAGGCGATTTTTAGTTAGCCATGATAAGCTTGATCCTGCGAGGAAGCCGTAGAACCTGATCAACGTTAGCTCACAGTAATCAGCATCGGCGCGCCCGCCTGTTCAGCGGAAGCAAGCTGCAGATCGGACGCCACAAAGCATGTATACCTCTCTGGCGTGAGCGTTGGTCTTCCTCGTGTGAAGCCGTCAAGCAAATGACGCCAAAACTATCTGCGTTGTCGCGCACTGGCTCTGCACCACCACCCCCGCTCTGCTAAGTAAAAGCGCATTGTTCCTCGGTCACAATGTTCCGCCTCCATCGTCTACCGCCTGCTCCAGACGAGATCTATTCTTCCAGCCTTGCAACGTTTCACGAAGGACACGCCCTCTGGTACCCGGAGCCACATGAGTCAGGCGAACCGCAGATCGGCGACGTAGGGTTCATACACAGAGGTGCATTCATCAGGCTGTTCAACCTCGACACCTCTGCACCCGAGAAGAAGGTCACATTCTGGCCGGTACCCTTCGATGATATCAAGCCCTTGCCCCCGCACGTCCTCCAGATCGATCGCAGACATCGGCCGCTGGTCCCCGACCATTACTGCAGCCATGGGATGGAGAGCAAGGAGATACATGCCTCAGTAGATGCGTGAGTTTACTGACGCATCTGGGAGCTGCCTTTGCGCTGACAACTCGTAGAACGGCTGGCGCGAGCATGTCATTGGCTCTTACTGCTGCCTACAAATGCAAATCAACACAAAGCGCGGTTCTTGCCCTCAAGAGTGAGGCCCATGCGGAAACGCTGTTCGAGAATCAAGTCCTAGAGAATTACATCGTCCGAAACCATGACACATGGTATACATATGCCACGGGCGTCCTGGGCCACCGGCTCAAGCAGGAGAACCTTGTCGTGATTTGCGGCTGGGTCAAGACAGAAGCAGATTGGGCTGCAGCAGCATTCAGTAACATCAGCTCGAGCTCTCATGTTTCGGTCGAGGGAAATGCAGGCGGCGTCGCGGGTATGGAACTCGGCGGGTCGCACTCGAAGTCTGTGACGGGACCACGGATGCAACGGCAGGGCCGGCACTACTTACCGGATGCGTCTCACCCATGTCCCGTGGAGCCGACGAGGGACCAGTGTATGTTCGTGAAGCGCTACGGAGTACGAAAGCGGTTGTGGATTTTCAAGAAGATCGTTGCGAGCGCGGACTACCATCAGCTTCTGGATATGGACGACGGGAGAAGTGGATCGGGAGGGAAAGGGGCCATAGCACAAGAGGAGGATAATCTGATTGGCGCAAATGTGTTGGAGCTCGAGAGCGAGGTACGTCTCAGTTTATGATATACCGTGGAGTACGCGAACTGACGAGCCATCAGGGCGAGATTCCTGACCCGCTGGACATCCTTCTGGACTAGTGATGTGCGGGCCCGGCTTGGGCTCAAAGCCCGGGCTTGGGCTTGTGGCAGCGTCGAGCTGAGCCCTGAGCCTGAGCCGAGCCTGAGCCCGGCCCAAGCCGCAGGCTTAAGCCCGGGCTTGCTCACAATACAATGAATATTCTGGTGCTATGAAAAGAGAGTATATTTGGATGTAGTAGATTATTACTGCGTGTACTCACTGAATTCAGCCTCCAGAAGATGTACACTTGGGGAATAAGTCGAGTCGCAGCAAAGCCCACGAGCGCGCGCCTACGGCAGGCACCAAACGGTGATGCACAATTGTGCTCGGCGGGAACCGTCGAGTCTAAAATATCAATATTATGTCTGGTGTGTACATCTTAGATCTCTCTCACCTTATCCTGAACTCAGGGAACAGTAACAGAGCCGGTACACCCAAGCCTGGGCTTCCGGGCCGGGCTTGAGCTTGACTACGCTCCGAGCCCGGCCTTGAGCCCGCCGCCAGGCTTGGCTCGGGTCAGGCTTTTTGGGCCGGGCTTGGCGGGCTCGCGGGCTTTGAGGCCCGGCCCGCACATCACTATTCTGGACTATATGCTGGAAGTAAGTCTACTCAAGCCGAATGGTACTCATGACACTAAGCGATGCATCTTTTATTGTAGACCACCGGCGCCGAGACTGTCATTGCCAGCGATGACGACGTCAAGAGCATCGTCGTACGTACCGTGTGAATTACCTAGCATACTACGTATGACTGATTTTGACCCAGGGTGGCGATCGAGTGGTCGATTTCGCGAGCTACCTTCGTCAAGTGCAGCCCCCGGTGCAAGTTGACGGCACGCGTGAGTGTTCTATGTCTTGGCAATAATGATATCTAACAGTAACGACCGTTCGCATAGTCGGATTACTCTGCATAGAAGATGTGATCTCTCATGAGCGAAAGCGCACTTTGGCACGTCGTAACATCACGTCTGCCGACAGGAGTGAATGGCCAGATGTCACCTTGGACGGCGCTGGTCACCCGGGCGATCGGCACGTCTTCATCGGCCCCACGAAAGCGAAAGTTCGACAAATGAAGTTGAGACAGCTCATCTTCGCCAACCCTCGAGATCCATCCGCATCCTGCAAGCACTTTTCCCTGTCACCCGACGGCAACCTTCTGGCCGTATCCTTTAGAGGCAGCGATATCCTCGTGTGGCGAATATTTGATGGTCTACTTGTTCAACGCCTACACCATCAGGGTCACATGGAGCCCGTTCTCTTCCTTGAATTTTCTCCCAACAATCACTCCCTTGTCACGGGATCTGAGGATGCGACCGCGATCATCTGGAATATCCGAGATGATCACGCGCTTCTACGTCTACGTCTAGAAGGACATCGTGGGGCGGTTAGGAGGGTCGTGTATGCTCCCCATGGCGCGCTCATTGCCACTATTTCTGACGGTGACGAATCTGTGAAGATTTGGAATGCCTCGACTGGAGCATGTCTGCATTCCTTCGACGTAGAGCAGAACGTATGGCAGGTCGCCTTCTCCCTAGATGGTTCGCGTGTCTATATCAACATTCACGACTCCTATTTGATCTATGACACCCAAACTTACACGCCCATTGCTGAAGTGCGGCATGACAACTGCGAAATGTCAGTATCTCAGCAAGGCGACCGCATAATCACTGGATCGAGGGATGATCGAGTGAAGATTTGGAGTGCAACTACCGGCAAAAAGCTTCTCACAATCAACTACCCGAGAAAGCTTTCATACCCTGTAGCATTCTCCCCAGACGGCGCTGAGGTGCTGGCGGCTTGTGACGCAGGCAAGACGGCTGTCACCTTCGACTCATGGACAGGCCAGCTACATCATGTCCATGAGCTCTCAATGGTGTTGAATCATGCCTCATACTCTGCGCACGGAGATTACGTTGCCTTGGAAGAGAGCAGGGGGAGTCTCTGCATTTGCGACGCGAAGTCTGGAGTGTTCCTTGCGAGGTTCGAGCAGCTTGGTGATGAAGGTCACCGCAGGGATGGGCCTCGATTTGTGCTCTCCGGTCAAAACCTGGTGGTACGTTTCTCCGATGGGCTTTTGCTCCTGCATTGTATTCAGGATGTATTACGACTGAGATAGCATAAATATGGTATAGTGTTTGCTGATGTACTATGCGAGTGTATAAAGTGACTACTTCATGTGATGAGTGAAGATGGGTAAGAGCATGTGTAAAATATGAGTGAGGGACGAGAAGCCAGTGAGTATAATGACAGTGGATACTGGGCTCTGCGGGGCGCGGAGAGCGTGCTTGGGGGCGACTCAGTTCACAGGTTCAATTTGATGACAGCTACAACGGGACGCACTTGAGGAACACACTAGTGGTCTTAGAGCTTCCTTAATTATGGCACATATATTTCTAGCCCTTTCATATAGCAACACGTGATGGCTAAGCAGGATAGGTGGAGGGGGAAAGCATCGAGACATGCCGAGCGGAAGTCCGTTTGATGATCCCCGATGAGCCCGGAAGATTTTGATCTGCGTCACGTGCGGGCGGCGTTGAGCTCATTGCTTCTGTCCCTCGACACCCAGCTGTCACTGTCCACTAAACCAAGAAGGTACTCTTGCCTAGTGTTGCTGGCATACTGTACATCGTGCCTCGACTTCTGCGCACCGCTTTCGTTAACAGCACTCCTTCTGGGCGCTCATGCAAGTACCCAGGTGGCTCTTGCTCGACCCATGTCGTCTTCTCCTGGGGCTCGCTCTATCCCGCAGGGCCTTTTGTTGATGTACACCGCCAACTTGCGCATGGGTGATGACCAGGTGAAAAGCGCTCGCAGGGAGCAGAAGCCGTGCATCTGATCTCAGAGTCAGTGCGTCTGAAAATCAGGAGTATTCCGACATCATTCGGACCGTATGAGTTCACTTCTGCAATACGCCTGGGCGTACGTCCGCGACACATATGTGCGGATTCTGTGTAACATGAGCAGTTCGCACATAAGTCAGCCAATATTTCTGGACCAGATTTCCTCTCGCTGCTGTACAATTTTGTGCACATCAGGCGTTCAATGTGTGAATAATTAGTCATTTATTTGGTATATATGCGGAGGTCACACTGCTACTACATTAATCGGCATTATTGACAATCTCGTCAATTTCCTGTTGCCACACGTTGGCAGTCCGAGGGAGCGAAGCCGATTCTGCTATGTTTTCTACACCATGAATGCGGCGATCCTCCTTCAATGTGTCATGAAAATAGCTGCGATGAAGATCAGCGGTGCACGGAGTAAAGTTATATGAGAGTGTGATGCACTCACTGATCTTCGTCTCATCACCTCCTAGTTTCTCACGCAAGCTGCGGAGGTTCGCATCCACGCTGTCCCAAAAGTCACGCTGGCTGTTTTTCATGAAGCACTTGCGCTTCACAGATGAGGTGCCAAGGACAGTTGAGCACAAAAATCAGGAAAGATAAGTTGGAGACTTACGAAAAATGCGGCTCGTGCACACAAAGGAACAGACGGCTTGCACATGCTGGTACCTTTCGTTGTATAGATGCAACACATCTTTTGAGTCAGCGCATAGATGGTCCAGTGCTCAGTGTTTGGGCCCTGAACACTTCGCTCAAACTGCAAGAGCAACAAGACCTTAATAAAACGAAAAGAGCTGCATGAGCACACTCACATAGGCTTTGAACTGTCGGCGGATGTCCATGTTCATGTCTTCAATGACATCGGTAATGGTTCCCCACTTGGCAAAGTCCTTGTCGTTGTTGGGAGGCAGCTCAAAGACTGATCGTTCTCTTTTGATGACAGACTTTGATTGGGAACATTAGCATCAAATGGCATCTGCTTTAAGATGCTCAGTGCTTACCGTCATTCTGTTGACAGCAATGTCCCCCTTGTAAGCTGGAAGGCATGGAGACAGAAAGACACCCAATGCCCATGCTTGGACATTGGTCTGCAATTGGCAGACAGGTTGAGATAGTATGAACCTTTGCGAGCTCTTAAAGACACACCTTGAACTCTTTTGAAGGTTGCCAGGGAGCCTTCTCGACACTTTGGTCTTTGTCTCGCTATTGAGTGATAAGCAGTGCAGCATATATCTTTGCTTCTCAAATGATTTGCGAGTCCTTGTTATGATACATATGAGAAGTTGTCTCGTGTACTACAGAACGTAAGGACTCACCGATACGAACTGCACAAGTTCTCCCACCTTCTCTGTGCGAAGTCATTTTCTAGCGCCCAGCTGCTTCGCGTACTCAATGTAGTTTCGGTTGGGTTGAATTCTTGTCGAGGCTGGGTCAGGAGGCGCAGTGGTGGATCGGGAGTCAGGACCAGATTGATCAAGGCGAAGAGGGTCATTGCTGAGGTCATCACTGCTGTACTCATCATCGTCTCGTTCATGCCGTTTTCCAGTTGTGGCAGTCAGATCAAGAGACAAGTGTACCGAGCCGGGGCCTCTCTCAGCAAATTCAGCAAATTTGTTGTCGAGGGTGCTTAGTGTGGGTGCCATAAGAGCTGTGGGGGATGTGGTTTAGGTCAGGTTCTGAGGCCACCAATCCATGCACAAGTCTTGATCAAAATTCAGGTCCCGCAGGCTGTCCAAGACATTTCGGTGACGACGACTCCTCTTCAGGAATGCAAAATATTGTCCTCACCAATTGCACTGATATTTGACTGTCATGGCTCCAGCTGCAAAGTCACTTTCAGGATGTGAGCAGTCTGCCTTGCCAAAAAGAAAGTACAGAAATATTGCTTACCCACTGTTTGACATGCCGCAGTTGTCGATTTGTCTGAGGATGGAAAGAAGGCTCAGTGCAGTCTCTGTCATCCCAACGAAGGGGGTCAGACCATGGCAAGAGGAAGCATTGCTGCTCACCTTAAAACTCAGGCCCATCACACTTGTGCCGAAGATTATGCTCAGCACCAAGCAAGAGCCACAGCCATAAACCAACGTCTCCAGAGGGAAGATCTTGCAATGGCACAAACGATACACCTTTGTGCTGTTAACATTGTGCAGGCAGGCATACCTGATGGTCAGGGAGGTGGTGCAGAGGAAGCTCGAATGTGGGAATCATTTGACGCCGATGCAGATTGCTTCACCTTTGGCACCAGACAGGGCCCTGAAGCTCTTGCAGCGCGTGCTGAGCACCACTGGGAGCGAGAGCTGAGAGACTTCGAGCTGTCAGAGGATTGGGCACGAGAAAGTGCAGAGGATGACTGGTTGGCCGAAATTCTTGGTGACATCAGTAGGTGCAATATGATCTGCACTCTGCTCTAATAAACATAACTGGCTGTGCACCCTGTGATTAACAGAGCTCAACGATGGTCAGAATGAAGGCCCTGTCTTTGAGAATATGAGCGCAGACACTTCTTCGTCCAACAGACAGTGGGCTCCATATGATTCAAGAACGGTAAATTTAATAACTTGTTCGGTAGCTTGTCATGCTCACAAGTATATTTGCAGATGTTCTTGCTAGACCTTCTGGGCAATCTACCACGCCTGCCTGTGTCTGACTCTCTAATGCGAGTTTTTCTATGGATACTGAAAGAAACTGGTGCGCGTGATGTTCCAAGCTTTGCGCATCTGTGCAAAGTTCAAATAGCTCTCCGCAAGCAAAACGGCATCCCAACTTTGCAGTGCGAGTCAGCTTTGGGTAATATATTCTATATGAATGACCCTTGCAGCATAATTGCTAAGATGAGTTGAAATTTAGCTGTCCATAAGTATAACGCACTGAGACTGCCCTTAGGATTGGTCAAATCCACAAATTCGCCCATATATTAATGTATATCCTGAAGAGCCCGATGGGCCTGTCTCAGAGATATGGCACGGCCTGAAATGGCGCCAGGAAATGGACCCCGATGCACTGAGCCCTATGTGGGATGCAGGCAGCGGTCGGCATTACTATGTGAATGAACTAGCTGAGCTGCATGATGGGCAGCTCGTGATACCAATTCGATGGTTCATTCGCCACAGTCAAGTTCACGCAGATGCGTTTTTGGTCATAGTCAATGCAGAGGTTTGCTTGTTTTTAACATCTCACTCTATCGGGTGATATTGACTTGCATTTAGGGCATTGCTTCCGTGCGTGATAGCGAAGAGATTATTGTTGCAGCCAATGATCTGTCTAAGAATTTCTTGGAACTTGATGACAGGCTTTCTGCCGCATGGGACGGTATATTACAGCACTCCATCATCTTTCTAGCTTTGCTAACCCCCTTTTTATCATGTAGAACATGCTCAGTCCTGGGGATATGGCAAGAAGATGCCCAATCCTCTGTGCAACATTGCTCAGGGAGACCCTCTCTACACTAGCTACATCGACTATTTTGGTGATGATGTCTCCGGTAATCGCTCCAAGTTTTGGAACAAGCACTGGAATGCCTATATCACCCACCGGAACCTTCCCCGCAAGATGCTCCAGCAGGAATTTCACATGCACTTCATTTTGACGTCTCCGCATGCCAGCATTACAGAGCAGTTTGGAAAGTTTAAAGAGGCTGTTGAGTCAACCCACACCAAGCCAGTTCAGGTTCGCAATGGCTTAAATGGACAGACTGTTCGATTTCGGGTCTATGTCAATGCTGAGCCCTCTGATAATCCCATGCAAAGCGAAACCTCTGCACATATCGGAGGTGGAGGAAATTTATTCTGTCATAAGTGTGACACTGGTGGTACAGACAAGCACAAAGAGAGCGACTGTGGCTTTGAAAGCCTCTTTAACCCCGGAACTCCATGCACCAAGGACGACATAGTTCTTGCCTTGAAGCAGCAGGTTAACACAGCATGTCACGGGGTCGCACAGCATGTCAAGGACCTGCAGACCAAGACTGGAGTCAAGGATGCATACACTCAGCACTGGATCGACAACACTCTCGAACGTGCTCGCTCGATGAAGAAAAGCAGCCCATCTCGCTTGAAAGAGTCTATCCAAGAAGAGCTGACTCAGTGGGTTTCCGACAACTGGTCCACCATACTCACTCCATTCTACACCATGCCGGGCTTTGATCTGACCAAGGACATGCCAATCAAAATTCTGCATACAATTCTGCTAGGACTAGTCAAATATACCTGGCATGGCACTCACACAGCCTGGAATTCAAGCACGAAGGATCAATACACTCTATGACTGCAGGCGACTGATGTCAATGGGCTCTCTATTCCTGCGATTCGTGCAGGCTATATTTTGCAGTACGCAAACTCACTTATCGGCCGTCAGCTCAAGACGATAGCCCAGACGATCGTGTTTCATGTGCGTGATCTTGTGCTGCCACTCTACTTTCAGCTGTGGGTTGCCGTCGGAGAGCTGTCTGCATTGCTGTGGCATTCTGAAATTCACAACATGGACAAATACTTGGTATGTAATGTCTTGTTCTCTCACAGCTAGCATGCCGACTAGGCTGATGCCCATCATCCACAGGACGACCTTGATATTGCTATTGCCAACGTTCTTGATCTGTTTGCAGAGATTGACCCCAGCAAGATTGTCCAGAAGATAAAGATTCATCTTCAAACTCATGATCGATACGACATCCTGCAATTCGGGCCTCTGGTGGGGCTTTCGACCGAGGTTTTTGAAAGCTCCAATGCGGTATTCTGGTATTGCTTGATCCACTCTAACCACCGCGCTCCGAGCCGTGATATTGCTCTGCAACTGGCGGCCCAAGAGTCACTGAAACACTGCATCACAGGTGGCTACTGGCCGACAGACAGTGCTGACTCTCCGAATGCTTGGACAAACGCGGGCCTCGGAATCCGAGATTATTTGACCAATCAGCCAATTCTCCAGCGCCTGCTTGGCTGGACATCACATACTGCACAGATTCCTGGTGAGTTATTACAGCTCGTACTTCGTGCTCAATTGATGTGCGATTTCTGACATGATGCTAAGGTTCTGCGCTATCTGTACCACTGAAACGCGGCCAGAAAACTCGTCCTACGTGTTCTCTCTCACAGACGAAGGCCGCTTCTGCAGGCAATATAGGTTCCTTTAGTGACAGCAGATCCTCGCAATGGGCAGAAGGACGCTCATTTGTGTCGCAGAGCAAAGAAGTATGCACCAACGGAACATGGGTCTTTGCACGGTCACCTTCAGATGTGAGTTATACAAGGCGATTACACAGTATCTTCTTACACCAGCTGTCTGACTGGTTCTCGTCCCCAGAATAACCAGTCGGTCATCGGACGAGTAGCTGAGATCCTGATTGAGGCTGAAAACAGCACTCGAACTCTCATTGTGCTTGAGCAGTTCAAGGTTGCTGTGATGCGCCACGAGACATTCAAAATGCCCTATCTTGTCTCGTCATTTGGGGAATCATACTTAATCCTTGCCGCAAAGGTACGGGGCTATAATATCATCCAGTGAGCCGATTTGACCAAACTTGAATGAGCAGGACGTGAAGTTTGTGGTGAACACCCAGCATGACTGTGCTCACGCCAGCTGCAGTGTGTCTAGCCATCATGCTGTTCTTCAAGAGCAAGAGGAATCTGGACGCACTGAAGCTGTCTTCGTTCACAAGCAGGGCCAGTGCGATCAGTTTATCATCAACATGACATCATTTCATAATGCCCATCTCGTTTGTCAAGTGCTCCCCTGACACCTGACAGCTCATCAGCTCCTATTTCCAAATCGCTCCGCAAAACATCTCGAGCAAGCGCGGCAGCTCCGTCAGAAAAATAACACCAAGAGAGAAGCAGCGAAGGAGAAGAGGCAGAAGAAAACAAAGACAAGTGGACCATCACGGAGAGGAGCACAAAGCGAAGCACGTACAAAACAAGTAGCTGAGGCTTGTGGCAGTGAAGCAGAGTCATTGGACGCTCCCGAGGACAGCTTCGAATGTTCCGGCGAGGCTGAGAGTGCAGCCAAAGAGCCTGAGTCTGAGCACTCCCGCAAACGCAAACGGCTTATTTAGACCTATTAGATAGATAAAGCTTCTGGAAAATGATAATTGTCAACCCTTGCACAAGCTCACTTTGTGAAGCCTCAAAATATATGGGAAAGATAGCCGACAGTTGCGAAACACTGATGAATTCCACGAAAGAGAGGGCCCATAATAAACGCCTGCTGCAGCCCTTCCGCTCCCAAAAACTCATTTGCATTGCATGTGTGTTGAATATGCAACACATGTACTAAACATACGGAACGCAGACAAATGAGACACCTGCACCATGAATGTCTGACGTCTGCGATGCACCCGCATGCACATGTGGCTCACCCCCGAAGCGCCTGTCTGTCTGCTCTCTGAGTGCAAGTTGGTAGTGTAGACCTATAGTGGCAAAGATTTTGCTTTTATTTATTTGCCATCTCCACAATGATAGTCACCCGGCGCAATACAGCTGGATCACTATGACTCCACTGACGCTGGACACAACATTGGCAAAAAGGGATGGAGATTATATTGCATTAAAATGCAATATAATGCAATCCGGTCCGTTATCTTGCATTATAAACTCAAAAATCACTACAAATCGCATTATAACACATTATAAATGCCCAGTGGTGCATTATAATGCATCATATTTGACCGCCCAATGTGCTGATGAAGTTTTTAGCATATGCCCCAAATTGACAGGTTTCAACACTCCTTGACCTCGTACCACCACCATCTCCTTGGGCGCCTTCAGGCGATTCCCCCAAGGGGCCTTATTCTACTAAACATCTATCCATAATAATCCCTAGGATGCTCTTCCTGCATCCTTCGCCATCCTTTCAAGAGGTCGTAACCCATGAAAGCTCTCTGTCCTCGATGGATGAAGGTGAAACAAACAAGATAATGTCTGCCTTTGGGCGCTCGACGAGTGTCTGGAGGTGGACACCTCAAATTGTCCCTCATCCCCTCTCTCCTTCCCTGTGGAACAGACACCAATCCCCACACTGACTGCCTTCACCGCCAGGACTGAATAGTCCCCTCCTCCAAGCTGAACAGGGGCCCCGGGCAGATGGCCGCTGCTCAACTAGAGGTAGTAAGTTGGCCCTTGAAAGCCTGTACCAGGTGCCCACACCTACCATCCCCTGTGGATGGGAGAGTTAAGCTGGCCTCTGCCTCAGCCCATCGGGTGCTGTCCTGTAATAATTGGTCAGTACAAGTGCAAGCTGGTGGCTCAAACCATAGTAGGAGAGGGGTGGGATGTTGATAGTTGCAGTACCAGGTGTAGGTCAGGCGCGTGGCTAAATGCAAGTACCAGGGGAGAATGGGAGTGGGGCGGAAGACAACTACATAAGGATCTCGCCAACTCGAGCAGCAGCCAAGTGCCCTGCTGTACCACCTCGAAGACAAGTTCCGTATACAGGCACCATGTCAAGGGCCTTCTACAACGGGGGACTGGACTTCGCTGGGAGCTTCGGCAACCATATCCAAACCAGTGTAAGTCTGGTAATTCCTTTTTCCTTGTTTACAGGGTTTTTTTGGATTGAGCTAGGGTAACGCTTGGGTTTGGTGGAGGTGCTAATCGCCTCTGGAGACCTCTGTAAAACATGATACCCCAGTTTCTGTACTCTCTCAAGAGACAGTTACAGCCTCAGGTGGGGCATGTTTCCTTTGTAGTACCTGATGACGCACACCTCTAGTTAGATTATTATGGCCCTCATGTAGCTGTAGTCCTACGGGCCTTTATAAACATTCAGAAAAAAAAATTGACAGGTTTCTCCAGAGTTTAACACTTGGAATTTGGACGTACAAGGGATTAGCCTGGCCACTGCGTCAAGCCCGGGAACCTTGTCCTTGACAACAGCTCAGTTATGAGCAGTACGCCTGGCTGAGCTTTCACGACATTCAGGTGCTTTGGAGGCCCACTTCAAGCGGCGCGGGCTCCAACAGCGGCCAGGAATATTGCAGGAAATATGTTGGCATGGTTGACATGCTCTTCGAAAATCTGCTCGAAGTAAGTTCACCGAACGAATGCCGTTACTCTTGCGCTGAACCCCTGCAAAATAGTCATCGCCAGTAATGATAAGGCTGAAAGCATGGTAGTGCATGAGCCAAAGCGAGAACTCAAGAGGTCTATATTCTCACTCAGCCCTACAGCGACGATTGGGAGGCTTATTTAATGACCTGTCTACGGGCTTTGTTGAGTACGGCCTTCGACAAACACCAAGCCTATGACACACGCAAGTCTCTCCCGTCATAGCTGTGTCGATATTGAAACGCGTTGCCATTGTAACTTTGTCGTCGGGTAGTGCAAGCATGGTTGGGCCTTCACGTATTAATACGTCCTATGTCTGTCTGAGTGGGTAGCCTGATGTTTTCCTTCCACTACGGGCATGAGCTGGTTTCAGATCACCTGAAATGTCCTGGTCAAGCCATCAAAACTGTTTCATTTTCGAAGACTTAACCGGGGCTTTCTTGTGTCCCAAAATGATAGATTTGCTACCACTTTCATAGCCATTTGTGGTGCAGGAAAATGATAAATTTTGTGTAGCCTGAAATGAACCTGAAATGACTCAATATGGCTACATTTCAGTACAGCAAAGAGTTCATGTTTCAGGAGACTTTGTGGCGCATTTCAGGACATCTGAAAGAACATATGTAGAAATCATTTCCGCCTCATGTTTGCAATGAGGAAAGGTCCGGGCAAGGAAAACTTTTAATGGTTCTAAAATTATCATTTACGGCAAATTTATAGTACATTTCTAGGACGTTTCTGACTTTGCTCAGGTAAAAATATTCTAGCTCATAAAATAGCTT